GACTCCTAGGCGGAGGAGTGGCCAGGGAGGCTCTGTGCACTGCCCTTGCCTGCAGGCGCCACCGTGAGTGCTGGCTCTGCTGCTCCTATTGGCCCAGGAACTGTGGCCAATGGGAGCTGCGGGGGCGGTGCCTGGGGGCTGGGGCAGTGCACAGAGCCCCCTGGCTGCGCCTGCGCCTAGGAGCCGGAGGGACGTGTCTCCGCTTCGCAGGAACAGCTTGATGTCCGCGCCGCCCAGAGCTGGCGCCTCAACCCCCTGCCCCAGCCCGGAGCCTCCTCCCACACTCTGAATCCCTTGGTCCCATCCTGGAGCCCCCTCCTGCAACCCAAACCTCTAATCCCCAGCCCGCACCCCAGCTGGAGCCCTCCCTCCTCCCATACCCCAACTCCCTGCCCTATCCCAGAGCCCCCTCCTGCACCCTGAACCCCTCATTTCTGACCCCACCCCAGAGCCCACACCCTCACCCCAGAGCCAGTATGTCCTCCTACTCCCCAACCCCCTGCCTCAGGCCAAAGCCCCCTCCCACACTCCAAACCCCTTGGTCCCACCCTCCAGCCTGGAGCCCCCTCCTACACCCCAAACCCCTCATCCCCAGCCCCACCCCAGATCCCGCACTCCCAGCTGGAGCCCTCACCCCTTCCTGCACCCCAACCCCCACCCCAGCCTGGTGAAAATGAGCGAGTGAGCAGGAGAGCAAGCGATGGAGGGAGCGGGGGGCAGGGCGGGGGGGGCCTCGGGGAAGGGGCAGGGCAAGGGTGTTCAGTTTTCTGCAATTAGAAAGTTGGCAACCCTACTCTCTGGAGGTATCCATGGTGGTCTGCAGGGTGGTGACGGAGTTTCCACCAAGCATGGCATGCAACTCTTTGTAAAAGCAGCAAGTCTGTGGCTCAGCACTGGATCCATTGTTGGCCTCCCTGGCCTTTTGGTATGCCTGCCACAATTCCTTGGCTTTCACATGGCATGCTACAGGTCCCTGTCATACCCATTTTCCTGCATTCCCTGAGCAATCTGCTTGTAGATGTTGACATTTCTACGGCTGGTTTGGAGCTGTGCTGCTACAGTCTCTTCTGTATAGAGTTCCTATATCTCCTGCCTACTTCAGGCTGCAGTGTGTCTGTAGCACATAGGTGGCATGATCAGCTGGGAAGTTGCACGCAACAATGGAAAGCAGATAGAGGTGTGCTCGCCAAGCAGGACAACCAGGAAAAGGTATTTCAAAAATTTGCAGGGTTTTAAAGGGTGGGGGCAGCTTCCCATCTATGTGACTCCTGGATACTGGAGTTGACAGTTGTGACCGGAGCAGTTTGTGTTGGGTACTGTGAGACAGCTGCTGAAGGAGTTCTTAGGATTTGCATAGGTAACCCAGCGTCTATACTTGCATTGTGTCAACATCCGTACATCAGCTGTGGCTCAGTGCCACTAAGGGAGTTGAAGTTACTGGAGTACTTACATGGGTGGGAGACAAATTTAAGTGTCAACACATGCACAAGTAGGTTGATGCAAGGTAGCTTGTGGCGACCTTCCTTTGTAGTGTAGACCAGGACTGTAATATCTAATCATAAGGATGTTTCTCCCTCTCTCTCCTCCTCTTCTTCCTCCATTAGCTGCTTTTTGTTCTCTCTAACATTAGGCAAGCTAGATAAAACAAGTGAGTTTTTTCCATTTCATTCAGAAGCCAACTACAAGTTTTGCTGCCCTTCTGACTCCCAGTCTTATACCTGATCCATTAGACCACATTGCAAGTTTACATGAACTGCCGCACAACTTCTTCCAAAGAGGACTTTCAGCGTTCTATATGTGCAAGGTGTACATGTCAGTTTGTGATGCCTCCATGGGTTACTATAGTCTTTCTGTTCCCTGCTCCAGAGTTGACCATTGGAGGAGGTCCACCTACCAGATGGTGACAAGTGATTTGTGGGGTTTGAACTCCTGATGATGATGGAGTTCCTCACTTTAAGAAGGCACTCAGTCTGGTGCAGTAGAGCCTAGTTAGACTCCGTCTCAAAAAGGGGCTGGGTTACTCTCCTGGGAGTGAGAAACTGATATTCAGAAGCCAGCGCAAGGAGCTGTGGAAATGTAAGTGCTGCAAGTGCTCTGCATAGTAACAATATACTGACTGTAGCTTTTCTGAATTGCTTTCTTACAATAGTTTGTTCACTTGAGCATATTTATTTAAGTATATCAAAAATCTTAATTATTTTTTCAGAACTTCTTGGCCAGCAGCAGAAACTGAACAAGAACTTCCCCATGTTCTTCTGCTCACCTATGTAATTTGCAAAGGTGATCCTTCTTTGTAAGTTTGCTACGAATTTCAGATGCGTATCTTTTGCAGGGGGTCAGCATGGTATTACACTTTACACTTAGATTTTATTTTAAAAAGAAAGTTGTTGGTTTTTTGTTTTTTTTTTTTAAACAAAACCTGACATGAATAGCAATGTTCTAGTAAAATGTCTTTTTAAAACATCCTTAACATTTTATTTTTTAATCTAAACCTTCCCCTCTCTGAAACCGAAGAAAACCAGCCTGGTGCTAGTGCACAGGAAACAGGCCATGAAAGCGAGTAGAAACCAAAGTGAAACTGAGTAGTCTAACTGTATTGTCTAAGCTAGTGAATGGCAAAGAGCAGACACCAAGCATGATGAAGAGTGTACCAGGGTTTAAAAATTATTTTTAATTAAATTCGCACTATTAATGGACCTTTTTTCACCTTGATGTTGCCCCTTGACTGTATATCGTGAGTTAGTGCAGAGACATAGAGTATATCTACACAGCAATTAAACGCACAAAGTTGGCCCAAGTCAGCTGACTTGGGCTTGTGGGACTGTAAAATTGCTGTGTAGATGTTCAGGCTCAGGCTGGAATGCGGGCTGACCCACAAATCAGCACAAACCAGCTGACCCAGAGCAGCTGCAACCGTACTGCCCTGGGTCTTTTATTCTAGTGTAGTGGTGTATTCTAGTATAGTGTATGCTGTTACTCATAGTGGTGGGTGTTTTTGTTTTTAAATGGTAATAGTCTACAGGTTGGCATTATCTCATGTTACCAGATATGCCCGTTACTTTGGGGTATGCTCATTTATTAGGGTTACTCTTCTGGGGGGGAAGGGGAATGTTCATGTAATTCTATTAATGTACTGCTTATGTCACTTGTTTCAGAGTAGCAGCCGTGTTAGTCTGTATTCGCAAAAAGAAAAGGAGTACTTGTGGCACCTTAGCGACTAACCAATTTATTTGAGCATAAGCTTTCGTGAGCTACAGCATCCGATGAAGTGAGCTGTAGCTCACGAAAGCTTATGCTCAAATAAATTGGTTAGTCTCTAAGGTGCCACAAGTCCTCCTTTTCTTTGTCACTTGTGTGTTCATATGGAGCTCTACTCCTTCCTTCTGCAAGTCCCCTCCCAATGGAGCTATCCTGCAGTACCTAGAACTAGATAAGAGCGCGCACACACGCACGCGCACACACTAACAGAGCAAGTCTGAGCGGACCAGGTCAATCGGCACTCTCAAGCTGATCCCCTTATATGTCCCTGTACTCAATGGGCTGGGTTAAGCAGCACCTTCAAGCTGTCACCCTTATGTGCCCCTGGTCTCAATAGGCTGTGCTGAGCAGCACTTTCAGCTGCCCCCCCCCCCCATGTGCCACAGATTTAACACGTCTCTCTCCCATTTTCACGTCACAATTGTACTGATGATAACCCACTTGATGAGCGAACCCCACAGTATTTTTGGGCACTACAGGGATCTTTAGCTTAGGTAAAAGAAGTGTTGTTGCAGAGTAAATGGGGGAAGCTAAAAACACAAAAGAGTAAAGTTGAGAGAGAGAGAGAGAGAAGCAACCAGCTTAACCATATTGAATAATAGTGATAACTACACAAGGAGATCCTAAACCAACATTATTAAAGGTTAATACCTTAGGTAGAAAGGAAAAAGAGAAATGGGGGGGGGGGGGAAGGATCTCACCACTCCCTGAAGCATGAACTGGTTAGCGTTCCCAGGTGATGGTGGTAGCTCAGGGTCCTGAGTGCAGGAGACAGGCAGAGCCCCCAGCACGATCAGTCAGGACATGGAGTCCCAGTGGAACTGATGTAGAGTTTGGATCTATGCATCAGAACACTTACTTGGGCATATGTAGGGGTTTTTGTAGAGAAAATACAATGGTTCAAGGGAGACCACTAGATTTATTTATGGGTAAACTGATGACTCAAGGGGTTTTTTTAGGCTAGACAATAGGAGCTGATCAGTCTTGGCTATGAGTGGTGTTTTCTTCTAGGGAGCTCACAATGCAACTAGGCTGCTTCAGTATTTTGGATATCAATCAAGGATTTATTACTAGCATTGGTCTGATAATTGCTGAGCTGGGTGTGTGCAGGCATAGATTCATTAACATCTGGAGCAGACATTCCCATGATGCAATGCGCCCCTCCTTTTCTGGTCCCAGAGTTCAGTGTAGTTCTCTGTTCTTCATTCTTTATGCTAATCTCTGTTCCATCTCTCATTCAGATGAGGCTAGGGGAGTTGTCTCTGTTCTTCATTCTGTATGCTAATGGAGATGTCTTAATCTTGTCACTCTTATCGGGAGGGGCCTAGGTGTGTCTCCCAACGCCCTTCACTGCTCTCTGCAAGTTTTTTTCTCTGATGGGTTTTGGTTTAAGCAGAGGTTGGTAGGGGGGTGTCTTTCATGAGTCAGACAGGCTGGATACTGTGCCCTGGTTCCCCAAGAACACAGAGCTGACTGGTATCACTCAGGATATAAATTCAGATCTGTAGTAATCTTAGTACAGTAAATAACTTTATATTTTTATCTCCTCTTCCTTCACTCATGCTACAAGAGATACCCAGGAACACTTGGCATTATGGCTCCACCCAACATGAAGCAAGAAAGCAGAAGAACTGAGACTTCCTCCTTACAGGATCCAGTCTGTTCCTTTCCTTCCAGTTCTTTTGCCTCTTGGTCCCCCCTGTTTGCCTCTTCTTCCTCTACTCTCCTTTTTTTTATCCTAGGCTATTTAAAGAAGATGGAGAAATAAAGGACCTCATACCTCCCGCCAGTGCAGCCAAATCGGGGAATCCCGAGCAGAGGGAGAAGCTGGAAGCAGAGTTTCCAAAACTGCCTGAGCCCCCTACCGAGAGGGGTGCTGTCATGAGGGGGAGAAACCGAGGAATCCGGTTCCAGAGCCATTCTCTTCAATTTTGATATTGAGAATCCAGACAACATTCCCCCTCTATCAGGCCTATGGGATTTCTTGCCTAGTCAGAAACCTTTCAAATTCCTGTCCTGCCTGAAGACAGCAGAGACTCTTCTCTTGGATCCTCCCTGCCTGCATCCCAGCTCAGTACAGACCAATGTGATTCCCTTCCCCATATCTCTGGGATAACTGTAAGTCTCATTTTCACAGGTTTTTCTCATTCTTTCCCAGTTTGCACACAGGTACTTGGCATTCCCAGAGGTAGCTTCCCCTCCAAACCCGTATGTGCATTATGGATGCAAGCCTCATGGATTGGGGAGCCCACCAGGGTCTTCTTTGGACCCCAGAGGAATGGAAGTTAAACATCAGTATCATCAATTCCTTTAATCCTCCAGCTGTGGAAATCTCTAATTCTCAGGTGTCATATGCTCATTTGATCTAGCAACAGGTCATCAGGTACCAAAGTGAATAGCCAGGACTGCACCTGGAACCAGCTGTTTTTCTGAAGCTTATGGTGATGTCCTGCCTTTTATCCCTATGGGCAGCCTTTCTTATCTTACTCAGTCATGAGTAGCTGGCTCTAGTGGGTCAGGAGTCCAAACCCATTTTCTTCTCAAGATGTGATAAATGTGACAGCTCCACAATAGGCTGGTTTGCCATAGACAGGTCTCTCAAGTGCCCTGATTTTTTCACTGGAATACTGAACCCAGATGAACTTGAGACTTTGGAGGAAGGCACTGGTCTACTCTTTTTCTTCCTTAATCTTCTACCTTTGTGGGCAATAAGGAAGTTTTGGTCAGGGCGATGGTGATATTGCTGGTGGCTCTACCTTGTTCTCTTCCCTGAATTCTTGATCTCCTTTCCCAGAGTCTGGTGTTGCACTGCCAAAACCCACAAGTTAACATATAGAAAATTAAGAGTAACCATTTCCTAGACTGAGAAATCTCTATAGCAGTAGTGTGGCTGTTTGGATTTGTAAGAACAGAAAAGCTTCCATAATTTTAACATATTCACTTATTTAAGGCATCTTTAGGGCATCTTTACTTAATTAGATTATGGTGTGAAATATCAAAGTTATTCCTGTTCCCTACAGAACATTGTGCACTTTTTACTAATAGGGTTTAAGAAGGGATTTGAGGTCAGCATCCTCAGTTCATTCCTCAACTATCTCTGCAGTCCTTTTATTTCTTACGACAGAAAGCTGCATTCACTGGACATTAAACAGGTTCTGAAGTTTTACTATGTCATTGTCAATAGTTCAGAGAAGATAGACAAAGCATCGTGGCTCTTTGAGGGCTGCCATAAAGGAAAGGGAATGGCTTAAGGCTACCAATTCTAGATGGCTTAAAGCTTTATCTGCCTAATATATGAACAGTTTAACATCATCCCTGAGTATCAGGAGATGTTTTTCTAAAAGTAGCTGTACTTCCTGGGGAGAAAGAGTTGAGGAATATAAGGTGCATACTCAGTTCATCATATATTATAAACCACTTATCAGCTGGATTGCTGTCTGCACTGTTGGATAGAACGTACTGCAGACAGCACAGTAAGGTATGTAAATTCTCCTCTTTAGGTGCTGCTTATTTACATTCACCTATCTGTCTTGTAGTAGAAGAAGGGGGACATATAGCAATTGAAAATTACTTGCTAGTAATTTCATTTGTCATCTTACTTTCACCCCACATTCTACCCTCCTCTCCACTAAGGAAGTGTGCTATTTCTTTCCTTCTAAACCTTTCCTGCTATAGAAATGTCTAACTGGAAGGTAAAGAAACAGACTTGGGTTTATGTGGAGGAAGTCTTGTTCACAGATCTTTTGCCTCCTTGCTTCTGGTAGAGGAGCTGTACTTCCAACTGTCCTGTATAGTCTTTCATGTAGGATGGGAGAAAAGGAGTCAAGAACAAATGAAAAATTACTTACAGATAATTCTCATGTCTTCCCATCTTTGGAGGAGTAGAGGTAAGTTTTTTGGGTGCTGTTAAAGTGGAGTAATGATGTAGGTTTTGTTCTGAACTGTTGATGTCTGTATATTAAACTGTTTCATATAAAAGCCTGGGCAAGCAAGGAATATTCCAGTTGCAGTCTCTTTTGGCGGAAGTAAATGATCAAACTTCAACATTGTCAACAGACCATTTGGGACAACAGACCATTTAAAACTCCAGACTGTCTTAATTGTAGGTTAAGCATTTTGTATGGAAAAGTTATAATAAAAATATTATTTCACTTACTATTGTTAAAAATTGGGAGCTCTAATGTTTTTTCCTGCAGAGATCTCCTTAAACATATTAGGACAATAACAAGTCTAGCCATATAAATAATTTAGTTTTAAATAGTTTCCTTAGGAGTGCTAGTAAAATAAACTATGTACTATTGTGCTGTTTTTAAAAATAATAATTTATTATATAAAAATTCATATAAGCCAGCAGAGAGATTATATTAAATAATAAATGTTTTGGAAACAACACTACTTGGAAGTTGTAGATAATACAAGAAGTTATAAAGTGCATGTTTTAAATTAGGGGCTAGAAACATAGGGTTGAGGGTAGAGACATGTTCTGAACATTAATGTACAAAAATATAAAATTAATGCATTCAAAAACATTTATTAATATGTGTAATGGTAAAGATTAAAACAACTTGTAGAACCTTAGAAGATATGTAAAGAAGATATATAAACTTGCCATATAGATTCGAAACTCCTATTCTCAATCACTTAACTTTTTAGAATAAAATTCTTCATGTTTGACTTGGCAAACAAATATTCTGGGGTAAATTGCAAAAAATCTATTTAGGAGAGAAATTTTTAAATGTTTTTTAAGGTATGCTGGAAACTTGAAATGGTTTTCTAAACTTAAACTTGGCATGTACTGCACAAACGTTCTGACCATGCTCATATTGAAGTCAGTGGCAGAATTACTATTACCTTCAGGATAAGGTCCATAGTTCTGAAGGAGAAATTTGTACCTTTGTTGTTGCAGTTTATTTTTATTAAAATGCCGAGACCTTTAAAAACCCTCTTACCTGTGATGGGTAGGAATAGTTCCCAGATGAGTGCACTAACTTCTGCAGAATCTGAGCTTTAAATATTTTTAAACTTGAGTTTTTGGCCCTTTTATGGTTATGAAGAGTATAAGCTGATGCACAATGCTGTCTTTTAAATTTGCAGACAGTCTGCTTTTCTTGCTGCTCATAGCTTTCTCAAGCTGTTCTAGTGAAAGCTGACTAGAGTCTTTTAAGTTTTCTGTACTGTTGTTCAGAACCCTGGGCAGCAGTGATATTGATATGAACCAGGTCAGTTTCACATTGCTACATCTTGGCAAAGCTGTGAGCAACAGAGGTGCTAGTACTGGAGCTGTTCACTAGGGAGGAGGATGCAAAATAACTTGCTGGAGTCAGGGTGGATTATCAGCGAGAACACAGTGCAACAGTTCTTCGAGTGCTTGTTCATGTCAATACCAATCAGGTGTGTGCGTACGCACGTGCATGATGGCTGGAAGATTTTTCCCTTAGCAGCATCCGTCAGGTCAGCCTGGGCGCCCCCGGGAGTTGCACCCTTATGGTGCCTAATATATAGCCCTGCCAACCTGCCATCCCTTCAGTTCCTTACTGCCAGTGACGGTGGCTGGAATGTCCCTTGGCTCTTGCTCAGCAAGTTTCTTCGTTATTCGGTGTATATAGTTAGTTGTATCAGTTTAAAGTTTAGTATAGTATAGTAGTTGGGGTTCCCTCCTGCCCCACTCTGGCCTAGGCGCCGTGGCTTGCTGTGGTCCCCGGGATTTAAGAACTGCGTGGCTTGCACCAAGCACATGCTTAAGAGTGATCCGCACTCGTCGTTTCTTCAGTGCCTGGGGGAGACTCATCAGAAAGATAGTTGCAAGATCTGCTGCGAGTTCTGCCCGAGAACACTTAAAGAACGGGAACAGCAGCTGAAGGTGATCCTCATGGAGGCAGCCTTGTGCCCCCACTCCGACCCGGGTTCGAGAGATCCGACCCTGATGGCGTTGTCCTCGATGCTGAGTGCCCCAACGCCGTCGGCGACTTCAGTGCCAAGGAAGGACTCCTCCAAGGACACTCAGCACCGCCATGGCTCCTCATGGGGCCCTTCTGATACTAGGCACCGCTCCCATTCGCCAGTGCCTCAAAAGAAGAAAAAGCCAGATGACCGTTCTCTGACTAAGCCTCAAGAAGTGCGACCCCAGGTGGGCCACTCCTCAGCATCTCCTTCCGGGGCTGTCTTGACTCCTGCCCACGTGAGGTAATTGAGTCCGGCCCCATCTTGACCTCTGGCACCTACACAGCAGCTGCAGCTCCCGTCCATGCCGCAAGCGTACCAAGCTGTCAGAGATCTTCTCCATCTGATGGCACCATTCTTGTCTGCCAGGGAAGAATTCTCAGCGCTGACGCAGCCCCATGCTCCAGTGCATTCCAAGGGAAAGCCAGCTATGATGTCAAGGCACTCCCCTTCGCCTTGTCCATTGGTACCTACACACTCCGACAGAGCGCCTTCCCACTCCCTGAGCTCTCGCTGTTTGAGACACCCAGGATCAGCTCCTCTGTGGTCGTCCGTGTCTGAGACCTGAGTCAGAGCCTGACTAGGAGCAGAAGCCGTAGAGTGAGGTCGGGCAGAGACAGAAGGGAGCATCAGGTGTGGCCTCCGCAGTGGCAGAACCCACCTCAGTGGCCCTTCTGGACTCCCTGGGCTTATCACCAGGGCCAGAGAGGAACCCAGGGCCCACGTTCAGCAACGTCTTCAGTCGCCTCCACCACTTATGTATCGCCTTCCGCTGTGCATCCACCCCCGGCACCTACGGTCCCGACGCCTTTTCCTCCGGCATCGTTGTTGACTCCGGCACCGTGCTCAGCTCCGACTTTGGCACCAGCCTTCACGATGTCTTCACACCCATCTCCCACGCCTGCACCGTTGTTGTCGACCTCCATGCAGGCACCTATGGCCCAGGAGCCGATGTCGGCACCGGGCCCCCCCGACCCCGGTGGCTCCTGTGAGCGTGCCGATGCATTTCCCTCCTGTGAGACTGACGCCGATGCTGGCTATGACGCCTATGGCCCCAGCACTGTCATCTGCACCCCCTCCAACGCTGCTCCGGGAGTCACGTGACTCATCCAGGGCAGACAGCACGGAGCTTCTTTCACCGGCACACACTTCCTCCTCTTCGTCGCTGGACGAAGCGT